ATATGATCTAACCTAAATATCAATAACAATAGCTGTGTTTTCACTTTATTGCAGTTATGACCTGCTTCATGCAGTTTTGGACTTGTAACTAGGTCAATTATTGTTTATACAACTTAAAATCTTAAAGATGAGCTTTAGAGCACCAGTGTAGCAACGTAGGTCAGAGACCCTTTAATTTCACAAGCCCTAAATTTAATAAAAACTGTAATTATTTTACCTTAATATTATCTTAATAATATTTAATAATTAGGAGCCAAGCACTGAAGGTGCTATGGCATCTATTGTATCTGTTAGATTTTTTTTAGTTCTTCCTCTTCTTGTTCTTCTTCTTCTTCAGCTGTGGAAGTCTATGGCTGCCCATTGAACTGCTTGCGGGAAAGTTATGAAATTTGGCACATCGATAGAGGACAGTCTCCACATTAACCACAGCAAATTTGGTGTCTAATTCAAACTCTCTAGTGCCACCACTTGTCCAAATTTGCACTCATGTTTATGCTAATAACTTTTGAACCGTAAGGTCTAGAAGAAAAATAATTTTTCCTCCGATTCCTTGGCTCATGCAGAGTTGAATGGACTCATTTGACTCATTCGTCGAATTGGCTCAGATCATCTTCAGACCATGCTGGCAAAAAGTTATCGAAAGCTTTTTGATAGACCCATCCGTTCTCGAAAACCGCGCAAACGAATTTAACGAAAAGCTCGCCAAATCGGACATGAGGCTATATCTTTCCAATGCTTTGTCATATTCAGACCAAACTTGGTGTGTGTTATGATAACCTTGACCCGAGGTTACTTGCACAGTTTTGCCGCAGCGCCACTTAGTGGTCCGGAGATATGAAAAATTGTCATTTTTTCACTTCTGAACGCTTTTGCTAAAAATCACAAGACTTGTCTCTTTAGATTCAGAGCAGCATACTGAGTCAAACAATGCCCAATTTTTCCATGTTGGCCATTTTGAATTTAGCCGAAAAATGGTATATTTTTTTAACGTATTGACATATTGCTACGAACCTCGGTATGTGTCTTCGGCACCATGCCCTTAAGGTACTCAAAAAGTTTGATGCCAGTGCCACCTTGTGATCAAAAATTATAATGAAATTTAAAAAAAGATGCTAAAGCTTTTGAAATTTTTTGTCTATTTTCATGAGACTGGTCTTGATAGATTCCTTGGATCATACCGCGAACATCAATACCAATTATGCCATAATCGGCATAATTTTCTTTGAAAACCTATTTTTTCAAACTCCTCCTAGACCTTTGGTCTGATTTTCAACAAATTTGACTCAGATCATCTTCAGACCATGCCAACAAAAAAAAAAGCATTTGGACGGATCAAACCGTTTTCAAATAACGCATCAATGAAATTGTTGTTATGATACCAAGCTGATCCTGAGGCTGCAACTCACTTTGCCATATTGACACCAAACTTTTTATGTCACTGTAACCTCGCACTGACCACACCATAACAATCTGATAATAGTGCCACCTATTGGTCAAAAGTGATGAACCAGTGAATCATATCACTAGTGGTTATATTTATGATTTTTCAGCAATTTTGACTAAACTCATCCTAAAATGGCTTTAATTACTCATTGTTGCAGTTGGTCTGATGCTCCATGCCATGCTTAGCTCCTCATTTTGCCTCTGGTGTGCTTGGCCCTTTAATTGCTACTTACAGCTATATTTTATATTATTTCCAATAGAAGTCTTATTATGGATTGAGCAAGAATGTAAAGGTTTATAATCACACTGAAAAAAATTTTAACTCAGAAATTGCTAGTAAAATTCACAAACAATTAAACAAAAACAATAGAAACAGAATTTTTTTTTTTTTTTTTAAAGTAGTTGTGTTATATAACTTTCTCAAAACAATGTTGTAACAATTATTAGCTTGTAGCTCTTTGGAACACTTACAACTATTTAAAAAATATTTTTATATTGTGCCCACTAAATTTGTTTTTCTCAACACCCTCTTTCTTTCCGCATAATAAAATAATTTCCAATAAATATCTCATGCCTGAAGTTCAAGGCTTTCTCAGCAAAATAGAAAGGTTTTCTATTGAACCTTTGTGGTTTGTGAGTGGTCATTGTTGGCTTTATTGCTCTGAGATTACTGGAAGGTTTGCCACTTCCTCCAACATTGTACAATTGAGAAACCACCAAGGGTCTTTTCCTCCCAGTGAATGTACTTTTTGTTATTCATTGCTCTGTAAATAAAACTGCACATACGTTTGTCCATTTTTGGGTTAATGCCTTAAGAATGTTTTGCCATGCTTTCAGGAAGATCACACACCTTTTACCTGCTCTGAGATGGGTCTCAGATTGCATTGGTTTTGTTTGCTAGGTACATGATTGCTGATAAGCAATCAAAACATCTTATACTTTGGAAAGAATTCAACTTGTCTATTATTTCCAGAGAGAATAACTGAAATTAAGGTGCTTGTCATAACGTCTATGGATCTCTTGCATGAAACATGAGCGCAATGGATTTTTATGTAAATAGTTTGTAAGTAAAACCTTTTGAGTTTAAGAACAATGCACCAAAATGAGTTCTGTTGTGTTTTATGAATGAGGCCCTTTAACTGTTTTCTCACGCATGTGCTTTAAAATAAGATATGATGCCGTTGGGGCAAAAAATGTGACCTGTGACCTTCCAGTGCAAATGTCACAGTTCACCTGTCAGATCTGTGGTTTTGCAATAGCTATTATTTAAAAGAGTAAAGAAAAATTGTGATGCAAATAAGTGATTGTATAGCATAGTTCTATGAAGTAGACCCCTGGGCAAAAAATGGACCAAGTCAAAAATTTATAAATATTTAGCTTTTAATGGTGCACATTTGATCATTTTAACCACAAATCACTGGTTAGGAAATTAGCATGAATTGCACAAATACTGTAGATAAAGTAACTTAGTACAGGATATACTTTCCCTTTGTTTGCGTTAAATGTTTAAGCCATGTTTAAGGAAGTTGAGGCAATGTTGTTCCACTCAATATTGATGACTTCAAACAGTTAGGAGTTGAAAAATGTCTCCCAGTTAGTTGGAGTTTATTTGAGACCAAATATTCTTATAGGGTTCAAATCTGGACTCTGACCAGGCCAAAACACAAGCCTGACTTGTTTTTAAGCCACGTCTTGGTTATCTTTGCAGCATGGGCAGGAGCTTCTTGTTGAAAAATAACATCTGATCGTTCCTCTTTAGGCAACAAATTTTCACTTGTGGGAAGCAAGCTATTCTCCAGTATTCTCTTATTCTCCAAAGCATTATTTGACTTTTCACAGTGAAGCAGCTCCCCAGTACCAGCATCACCCTCCATGCTTCACTGTGGTAGTGCATTCAGATCTTCAAAGAAAGATCTTCTTTGATCAGATCAAAGATCTTCTCTGGCTCTTCACCATGCAACTTGTGTTTTATCATGATGCATCACTCCACAGAATTCTGCTGAACCACTCATATTCTGCCAAAAACGTCATTTTGTCTTTGATATTTTTCTTAAACGGCGATGGTGTGTTTTGCTTAATTCTTAATTGATTAAGTGCATTTGCTTATTTCTTTACCAGTGTAGCGAATCAGCTCATGGGGAAATATGAATAATTAATCATAACTAGTTATAATTAATTATAAATATTTAGATCCGCTGTAGATATTTACTTGACCTCTCAGGGTCAACTGTCTGTCAATTCTAAGAACGTTAATTTCCTGGTTAAGGGAAATAACTTTCTTACTGTACAATTCTACATTTGTTAATCTAATGAATAACTGATTTGTTAAATCAAATGAAAAATTGTGTGTTTGATTGGTCCAGACGCTACACCAGTAACCTATGAATAAATCCATTAAAAGATTCTATAGAAGTATGAGGAATTTAAAATGTTATGGTGCAGCCACATCACTGTACCATGGTTTTACCACCGTTGTTTTTTTTTTTTTTGGGATGTGAAGAATGAAAACTCTATAGCAAGTTTTTTTGTTTGTTCTAACATGAAGATGATTGGCATGAATAGACTATTGGCATGAATAGACTATGTTGTTTTTGGAAAGCTAGAGTAAATCAGAGCGGGAAAAGTTAACATTGTGCCAAGTTGTGCTTTTTTGTAAAAAAAATACCTTTACAATAGTGATGCTCTTGGCGTTGTTATAGGTGCTTCACGGAAAAGCACACACCCTTGGATCAGTGCCAAGCTCTCTGATATCAAAAGCCATTCAAACTATTCATTATTAAGGTAATGACATGTTTGGATCACTTTAAACACCCTTTTGTTGAACAGGAAAGTTGGGAAAGGTCTAGATTATGCGCATTATTTCTGTCTCCGCTGAAGAGATTTTAGACAAATTTGGGAAAATTAATTTCGTCCATCAGTCAAGTAGGTTTAAACTGAATTTTAAGAAATAGAAATGTTAAGAGTATGCTAAATTGAAATACAATGGGGTCCAAAAATGTTGAGCCCATTGAAAATCTGGGATTCAAACATTTTAAATGTGAAGAATGTTTTGGCATATGAATTATTATAGATCAAATTATGACTCGATAAATATACAGATCATTTTGTCTATAATATTAAGGAATATGCACAAACTAAGAAATTGCGCATTATTTCAATTCACTCAAATTGCTAAGCTGATAATATCATTTTCAATGTAAAATGTAAAAACAAAACGAGTAATCTAGCAGCAGAAATCAGATAAAGTCATTTTGATAGTTTCTTTAGAGAAAACGAAAGTTGTGAGCATCAAACCGTTATGCAACTCTGTTAAGAAAAACGTAAATATTTCTCTGAGAGTTCAGCTGAATTTGTGTCCGGTTGTTTATGAGCTGCGAAATTAATGATCAGGTCATGCACCCCTGCAGACAATTCTACGGGAATAGAGGGGAGAAAAGCCAGCAAAGAATGTGGGAATGATAAATAGATGTGAAACTGATGCATTTACAAGATAGGGGTGGAGCAAGTACGGTAAGTCTTAGCGTGAAAGTGAAAGTTTGCCCATTTTTTGTGTATAAATACCTGCACCTGATACCTGCATGTCACACCTGTGCACAACTGTCTGATGATCTTGCGGAGACCAAACACAAAGACAAGAATGCAGACCACAACAGTAACTCTCCTGGCCATTACTGCAGTCCTCTGGGGCAACATAGAAGGTAAGAAAAAAAAAACTACTCTCATGGCACACATCTTGCAGCTTCTCAGAAGAATCCTGCAGGATTTCAAACTGAAACTTCTTCTGAATTGAGAACTGGCTGCAGCTCAGGATGAATAAAGAAAGAGACATTCTCGGCTTTTTCTTTGCTGGCTTGCTTTTCTCAAAGATTCAGTTATACTGTGGGAGCAAGTTCCCGTAAGTCCAGAAATGCTCAGAAACAGGCCAAGTTTTGTTCTTGCATGGGGTCAAATGCATATAGAGTAGAGGGGTTTCCTGTAAAAAAAGTGTTGCTTATGCTGTCCTTTCACTCTTAGCTTTTTCAGACACAGCTGTGGACTGCTGTCTGACCACCAAGGATACTCGTATTCCAATACAGATTGTTGTATCCTACTTTCACCAAACCACAGAGAGTGGCTGTGCCATTCCAGCTACTGTGTAAGTATCCATTTATGGTCTTTATAAGCATTGATGGTTCCATGAAAAACCTTTAACATCCAGGGAACTACAAAAGGTTCTTTATACTGGAAAAAGGATCTTTAGATTAGTAAAATGCTCTTCCTACTAAAAAAAAGTGCTCTTTTAAGAACTGTTCACTGAAAGGATACCAATAATGGCAACCTCCTTTTGGAAGCTTTATTTTGAAGAGTTTTGACTTCATTGATTCTAAATGCATGTTTCCTTCTTTCTGTTCCCATAGATTCATCACAAAAAAAGACAAGAAACTGTGCGCTCCACCAGAGAAAAACTCCTGGATTACCAGAATCATCACACACTTAGACAAGAAGAAAAAAACTCCTCAGTAGGAACACAGGTATAAAAAAAAAAACTTCCCCTCTTCAAGCTCTTAGTTCTGCTCTCATAGATCATCTCATAGACTTCTTCAAAGCCAAATCAGACAATAAGCAGAAGTTGTGCAGTTCTTCTTCCTTGAAATCTTTTTCTGTTTCCTGATAACAAAAACTGAATCAGGTTTTGTTTTGCTGCTTCACAGATGGGAGGCGTACATGATGACACTGTAACTGCACTGAGCAACACTGGATTAGACAGGAAATGACTACACTTCATCATTAACTGCCACAGTGATTTTTAAAAGATATTTACAAAGTATTTTGGGAATCATGCAGATATGGGGAATGCATGATGGTCGAACTTTGTAAATGATAAAAGCGGATATGCTATTTGTTTATATTTGACTGCATTGTCTTACTGTAGCAATTATGAGTCTCATACATTTGCATGAATTATCCTGTGAGATGTGTCTGTATTTTTAGCATACTTTGTGTGACTGGAATTTTTAAAGAATGTAAATAAATTCATTTTGTTAAATCTCCTGTGCACTGAAATGATTTCATCTAAACTTTAGATTCTAAAGCACCTCACACTTATGGATGTATGGATGAAAAGAAGTCTCTTATGCTCACCAAGGTTACATTTAATTGATAAAAAAATTCAGTACAAACAGTAATTTTGTGAAATATGATTAGTATTTGAAATAGCCGTTTTCTATATGAATATATTTTAAAATGTCATTTATTCATGTGATGATAAAAGCTGAATATTCAGCATCATTACTCCAGTCTTCAGTGTCTCATGATCCTTCAGAAATCATTCTAATATGCTTAAAACACATTTATTATTATTATTATTATTGAAAACAGTTGTGAAAAACAGTTACAATTTTGTGAGTTTTCTTAGAAAGCTTAAAGGAACAGCATTTATTTGAATTAAAACCTTTTGTAATGCCAATTTTGATCATGATTGCCAAAAAAAATTATGATATTGAAATGTTAAAGACATCAACATTTATAAAGTTATAAAGTTCTGCTTCTACATTCAAACCTGAATAATAAACCCAACAGAATTTACTGTTTGCTTTCCAAACACACACACACACACACACACACACACACACACACACCAATAATAATTAACTTTGTGACACTGAGTAAACATTTACAGTAATTATTTTTTTAATTCAGTGGAATTCCCAGCTCTGTATTGACAAGGATCATGAAGTCGATCTAACAGTTTGTCAGGTTCATCTGAACTGCTACTTCAGTCATATCGAAACATCTGCCAGTCTGGTGGCCTTTGAGTGAGAAAGTATTTGAGAGTCTGTGAGAGTTTCTATGTGGGTTTAAGCGGAGAAGAGAAAAAGAGAGCAAGGAACAGATACAAAGAATGGGATGCATTGTGCCGTAAATTTGTCCCTCCTTCAAAAAACAAAAACAAAAAAAAAGTCTTTTGTCCAGGTCACAACTCACAACCTCTCTTTCAGCCTTTGACTTTGTTTTTAGGACGGGAGGGACTATGTGTAAAAATGAAACTTAAGATTGTCCTATAAAGCATGGGAGCGATGGAGCAGTGAGAGGAGAGTGTTAGAGAAGCTGCTACAGTAGGACAAACGCGACACTTGTTTCACCATCTCCTGTAGCGGTTGCCATGGCTTCAGCCCTCATATCTGCCATGAGTCTGATTCTCTGTGCGGTGGCGTTCATTCTCTTCAGCAGTCCAGCAGGTAAGTCATGTTTTCTTCCTTCATCTTCATCTTTATGTGCTTCATGAATGCATGGAGGATGTGATTTATTTGATCATTTATTTGTTCATTTATTTCACTTATATGATAGCAGATCATACAACTCAATGATTCTAGTTAGTAATCAGAGAAAAAAAATCTGATTAGCTAAATCTAATCAACTAAAAAGACTCAAACTGAGTCATCCCAACAGTGATCAGTCAGTTTATTTATTTATAATTTTGTATGTATTTATGTATATATATATATATATATATATATATATTACATAATATTATTTTT